AAAGTGAACCGGATCATTTGAGTCAGTCGCTAAAATGATCTGGTTCATCTGAGTCAATCACCAAATGGATCCGCTTCACTTGAGTCAGCCAATAAAGTGATCTTGGATCACCTGAGTCAGTCAATAAAGCGATCCAGTTCATATGAGTCAATCACCAAAGGGATCTGGTTCACTTGAGTCAGTTGCTAAAGTGATCCGGTTCATTTGAGTCAGTCACTAAAGTGATCCAGTTCATCTGAGTCAATCACCAAATGGATCCGCTTCACCTGAGTCAGCCAATAAAGTGATCTTGGATCACCTGAGTCAGTCACTAAAATGATCCAGTTCATCTGAGCCAGTGGCTAAAGTTATCTGGTTCTCCTGAGTCAGTCACTAAAGTGATCCAGTTCATCTGAGTCAGTTGCTAAAGTTATCTGGAACTCCCGAGTCAGTCGCTAAAGTGATCCAGTTAATCTGAGTCAGTCCCTAAAGTGATCTGGGTCAGTTACTAACAATATGTGGTTCACCTGAGTCAGTCACTAAAGTGATCCAGTTCATCTGAGTAAGTCGCTAAAGTTATCTGGTTCATCTGAGTCAGTTGCTGAAGTGATCCAGTTCACCTAAGTCAGCCAATAAGTGATCTTGGCTCACCTGAGTCAGTCACTAAAGTGATCCAGTTAATCTGAATCAGTTGCTAAAGTTATCTGGTTCACCTGGGTCAGTCACTAAAGGGATCCAGTTCATCTGAGTCAGTTGCTAAAGGGATCCGGTTCACCTGAGTCAGCCAATAAAGTGATCCAGTTCATCTAAGTCAGTCACTAAAGGGATCCAGTTCATCTGAGTCAGTCGCTAAAGTGATCCGGTTAATTTGTGTCAGTCGCTAAAGTGATCCGGTTCATCTGAGTCAGTTGCTAAAGTGATCCAGTTCACCTGAGGCAGTTGCTAAAGTGATCTGGTTCACCTGAGTTAGTCACTACAGTGATTCGGTTCACCTGAGTGAGTCACTAAAGGGATCCAGTTAATCTGATTCAGTCGCTAAAGTGATCCGGTTAATCTGTGTCAGTCACTAAAGTGATCCGGTTCATCTGAGTCAGTTGCTAAAGTGATCTAGTTCACCTGAGGCAGTTGCTAAAGTGATCTGGTTCACCTGAGTTAGTCACTACAGTGATTCGGTTCACCTGAGTGAGTCACTAAAGTGATGTGGATTAACTGAGGCAGTCACTAACGTGATCCAGATCACTTGAGGTAGTCACTAAAGTGATCCCGGTTCACCTGCGTCAGTCACTAAACTGAATTGGGTTAATTGGAGTTAGTTACTAAAATTTCTTAACCTTTATTTAACCAGGTAAATCTCAATGAGACCACAGATCTCTTTTGCAAGGGAGGCCTGGGCCTGAAGGCAACCTAGCATGCATGTTTTTGAACTGTAAGAAACCGGAGTACCCAGAGGAAACCATAAACACAAGGAGAACATGCAAACTCCACCACCCAGAAAGACCCCAGATCCAGCCTGGGGGTTGAACCTAGGACCTTCTTGCTGTGAGACAACAGTGCTAACCACTAAACTTCTGGCTGTTGATTCAGTTCTGGATCTGGTTCATGTGAATCAGTCACTATTGTGATCTGGTTCTCCTGAGTCAGTCACTAAAGTGATCTGAATCATTTGAATTGTTCTCACTGTGTACAAACACACTTACAAAAGTTCAAATAAAAACATAAAGTGTGCAAATCAAATAAAAGTCAAACCAAATGTTGACTTTGGTTAAATTATGTTTTGTGTGTAAACATGGTTGTAGGACTCACCTGAGCCCACCATGTTTTCAGAGATGTTCTTTAAGGACTTAGCATCAGTCTGCCAGAGGACATGTAGGATCCAGGTTAATTGAGACCTGCGATTCAGTGTGAGGATTCAGATCTTTAATTCAGGTAAATCAGTTTCTGAGCAGCTCTAGGATGAATAAAATACAAGTTGATGAGGTTTAAAAATAATTTCATTTTGTTTTTATTTACATTTTAAATAAAATGCCAACTGTTCTTGGATTAGTGAGTCTAATGAATCCATGAGCTCTTGTTTTGATCTACTTGTGCTTCCAGTGACTCAAACTCACCGTGAGTTGCGTTGAGAGTCGTCCGATTAGCATTGTATTTATTAGCATGAAGATGTTTTAATTAGCACATCAGTCCGGACTGGTTGCCTCTTTGACATTGTGTCTGACATTGACTCTGGTGTTAGACAACCGCTCTGAGGCATGTGAGGCCGGCGAGAGGCTGGAGTCTGGACTCTGGGCGACACACCATATGATATTGATTATCTTTTGTTTGCCTATCTCTGCAACTCCTTGCCCTAAAGGACTTAACTCACATTATTGTCTGTCATGAGGTCCTATTATTCCAATTTAGCGAGCCCTCTATCCTGAGATAAACGCACCATTGTGGAAACAAGTTCATGAACATCCCACAGGAAGCAAACAGAAAAAATCCCCTTCATTTATTCACAGGTATCGATGAAAACTTTTATCAGATGAGGTCTAACGCAGTGCATAATTACTTTGTATAAAAATACAAAATGTGACATCTTAAATTATTTAAGGGGCCAACGTATAAACACTGAAGCACCGTGTTTATAATACCAGATGTACAGGTATTGTCTTACTGATTTGTTGTTTTTTGATTCACTTCATTCACAGGAGCTTTGTAAAAACCCAAACAAAACAAGCAGTAGGCCGATGTCTGCCATCGTTGAGGGATCTGAATAGTGAATGATTGTAAGATGAGTGTTCTTCTGGACTGGAACTGATCAGGGAATGCAACTAAATCTTAATGTTTTTGGAGCAAGATATTCAAGTGGGGAGGAGTTAAGCCCCAGTATACTCCCGCGTACATTCATACGCGGAGGTACGCGCGTATGTACACGGAGGTGCGTGCGTACCCCCACAGGGCATGTCCATGCAAAGTTCAATTTTTACAACCGCGTATGCCCAGCCATATTTATATATGTAAACGGTGTCGCACAATAAACTGCCCGGCAACGGACTGTTTTGTATGCGACACCAATGTATTAAATTCCCCTTCTTCATCCCTGATCTGGCTTTTTCTTTTGTTTTTTTTGGCCAAGAGGCAAGCGATCTTTTCCTCCTCCGTTGATGCCATAACTGAAATTGTGAGAAATTAAGGAATTTGTCACAAGCAAATTAAAATCAGTCTCAGCATGGCTGCGGGAGGGTCTGAAGATTTCCTGTTGGGTTGATCTAATGTGTGGGCTGCAGGGTCAGCCCTCCCTGTTTTATTTTTTTCTTATTTTTTAGAACTTTTTATTAACAACATATAAACACAGAACACCTCTGCGGCTGGGGTTGCCAACTCACGTATTTAATTTTTTTTTCACCTGTCAATCAATCCAGTAGTCATGTCAGCAAATGCAAATGACCAATCGGTGACCTCAGTTTGTCCCAAAGGTAAATGCCCCTTGTCTGTAGAGCTGCTCTGCAGCCGCTCAGGGTGTACACTCGAGCATGAAGTCTGAACCCTCTGCGTACGCGCATACGTACGCGCGAACGGATGTACGCGGGAGTATACTGGGGACTTTACACTGTGGAGAAGAACTACCAGGTGCACTGGTGGAGCCAGAGGGTGGCCATTGGTGGCCTTGGCCACCATAGATTAATCTTTAGCCACCCCACCAGCCACCCCGATGATTAAGGAAAATATTTTTAAGCAATATAAAAACTAGAAAGCATATTTTTCTCAAATGATTGGGGTGGCCTGTTTACATATATAAATATGGCTGCGGGCTATCTTGGGTTTTGGTGTGGCAACCCAATTTTCAATAGTGAACTTTCTTACAACTAGATGCAGTCACACACCGAAATGTAACTTGATATCTCGCTTATATTATATTACTAATATTATCAGTGTCATATTTGTCTTGATCACAAGATGAACTGGACAGACGGAGAAAGGGTATTTCCAAATGCTCTCTTTGCTCCTTGACAGGGGCAAAATACATTACATGGAGCGTGGCCCCGCCCGACACAGATTCAGACCAGGCTGGTCCATAATAATGTGCTTAATGTGCGGGCTGGGTCAGTGTTGGGCTTTTGATTGCGTCAGCAAACGTGCGCAACTGACGACCCAATTATATGGCAGCATGGCTTGCCATACAATCACCAGCCGCACGCAGCCATTTGACCGCACGCTGACCGGCCTTGAATGAGGTAAAAAGTTCAGTTAAGCTTCAGATGGACTACTGCTAGCGATCCATCGCCCAAATGGACGTTCATTCAGCTGCTGCACTCAGCGAACGCGCGTGGCTGATGACCCAAGCAGGTGAGATCACAAAATATCTGACTTGTCAGAGCAGGATACAGGCAGAAGCAGGGGAAGCATTTAATGTGCTTTGACAACAATGAAAGGACAAACACTTCCTCAGCTCCGATCTTCTGCCCCCTTTACTCAGCGTCAGCTGACTGTTAATCCAAGCAGTCAAAGTTTAATAAAAAAATGCCGGGGGGGGGGGGGGGGGGGTTGAGTTCGGACCTGTAATTACTGTTAATTCTTCTGATCGGCTGGGGCTCGGAAATGATGGCTACAGGCTGGGGCCGGGTCGGGTCTGATTTTTTTTAACCCGAATACAACTCTAATTTCCACCATAGCCATACCATAGCCTTAGATTTGCAGGTGCTGATTCTCATCCCAGCCGCTTCACACTCAGCTGCAAACCACTCCAGCGAGAGCTGAAGATCACGGCACGATGATGCCAACAGGACCGCATCATCTGCAAAGAGCAGAGATGGAATCCTGAGGCCACCGAACCGGAAACCCTCCACCAGATGACTGCACCAAGAAATTCTGTCCATAAAAGTTATGAACAGAATCAGTGACAACGGGCAGCCCTGGCGGAGTCCAACTCCCAACTCCTTCTTCAGCTTGACAGCCTCCCTAACCCGGGGTGTCCACCACCAAGTTCGTGGATGACCACCAGGGACAGACTCAAGTTCGTGGGAGTGTAAATATGAATTGGCTCACTTGAGAGCATCGCCCTTGAGTTGACTGACGAAGTAGGTGATTTTGGTGAAACTTGTAGCGTAGAGTTGGGGAGCTCTCTTGAATACCAGTTTACACCGGAGGAGGAATTCCCCGAAATGATCAGGGTCTCCTGAGAAGTATTCAGAGGGTTTGACCATTACCTGTTGCGACGAGGTGATGGGGACAGGTTTCGTTCTAGGAGGACTCGATGTTGAAGAAGAGGAGGAAGCTGCACGAGAAGGAGAGGTGAGCTTTTTGATTTATGGAGAAGACCATACCTCCGAGCTTCTGCATGTTTTTCTGGGAGGTGATCTGTTGAGTGAGGACTTGTTGGAGCATCTCCTCCAAATTACTAATGCGCTCCACCTGGGAAGAATGAGCTTGCTCATACATGGTCTCGTTCTGGGTCTTATTTGGCTGGAGCATTTCTGTTACGACACGGGGAAACCAGAGTGATATGAGACCACAAAAACGAGGCAAGACTCAGATATACAAATTGACAGTGTTTATTTATATACAGTGAACAGCCCTCGAACAGCTGGAGCCCTGAGGAGGAAGGAGAGGGTCAGGTGGTTCAGGCTGGAGAATAGAAGGGGATGATATTGATTCCAATGGTTCTGTCTTACAGTTTGGAGGATGGTCGAGGGGGATCCAAAGAGGGCTCCAGGAGTGAAGGCGAACAGGCTTGTGGCTGGAAGGCAAGGCACGAGGAACCAGGAGAGGGACTGAAGGGGAGCCAAGGCACGACTAGGACCAAGGAGTGGAACTGAAGGAGGACCAAGTCATGACAGGAACTGAGGAGAACCAAGGCACGACAGGAACTGAGGAGGACTAAGGCATGACAGGATCCAAGGAGGCAGGTACACTGTAACATAAGAGAAGGTTTTAGTATTTTGTACCAGAGACAAACAGGCCAGAGACAAAGTGTACCATTAGTGGCTAATGCTCCGGCGACGAGTAACATCCAACTGCAGCCTTAAGTAGAGTGGAATCTCATCAGGAAGATGACCGTCAGGTGATGCTGATTAACAGCCATCTTAAAGAGGAAAGCTGCAGCAGATGGTACTCTCACACTACTTAATATATGGGCAGTTTGGGTTTAAAATAACCTTACCAGATGAAAATAAGTGAATAATTGGTATAAAACTATTAATAGATCACAGGTTTAGATTTACTGCTATTTACTTTTTGTTTGCAATCTTTTGTTTGGCACCAATGACGTCACACCAGAGAGATCACGAAAAATACAGACGAGACCAGTCACCCAGGTACTTTGTCAGTCTATTTATTACTCTTCAAAACTTGGTCTTGGTTAAAACTTTGGTCAGACTAGCTGTTAGCTCATCAGTCTGGTCAAACTGACCCAACAACTGGATTGAAGAAAACAGCAGGGAAGAAATTGAATGTTGGTATTCTGTTGTACCATACTTTAAAGGACCTGAATTATCTCTTTAATGAACTTCTGTTTGGTGCATTTCAATTAAACACATTCTGATTCATCTGTAGGGCAAATTAAAAACAAGTGACTTGTTTAGAGACTCGTCGGGAACTCAGATCAATAATTGCGCTGAATTCGGTTTACAAACGGATCTTTGTTGGATCAAAACCAGTACTGTGCTCAATTTCCTGCTTTTAAACAGAAAATTTTCAGGTTTAGTTTGGAAAGTAAAAAAACAAACAACAACAACTAAAAAAAACCTCAACTATCCAATACTTGACAACTTGTGCTCCAGGCTCCATTATTTCTGCTCTGAAGTTACTTCCAAAATTCAAAGTACTGGAGTTCAAGTTAGATCTGAAAACCTGCCTCCACACCCACACAGCCAATGCTCTTCTCACCGACTCACTATCACTCCCACCTCCACAGTCTCCCACCATCATCAGTTCAGCCTTTATTTCTCAGTCAGTAACATGCACACATTTGGTTTTAATTCAGCTTCATACAGGAGGGTCTTTATCAGCTGTAAACATAGTTTTACTGCTGGTTCTATTCTGTGAACAGCTTGTGAGTTTCTGGAAAATGTGTAAATTTTGACAAAATCTAAATTTGATTCTTAAAGCCCTCATTAGGTAATTTAACTAGAATAGCTTTTCCAAAAGCGGAGAATCTATCAGCATTTATATTGATGAGCTGCACTCTTGGCAAGGTTTTGTCCCCCAAAATAAACAAGTGCCACATATGGCACATTATGCACCTGTCGACAAACTATAACACAGCAATCTATAGCAATGGCCCGGACAAGCACAGATCTTGTTTAACACACGTTGTTTAACCTTTGACCTTGATTTGTGACTTTGACCTTAAAGCTAGGATGGGGGAAATATTATGCAGTACAAATGTGTATCAAGTTTCTTTAACTTATCTTGAGCAGATCAGAAGTTATGGCCCAGATAAGAAAAGATCTTGCTTAACCTTTGACCTGGATTTGTGACCCTGACCTTAGAGCTGAGGTAACAAATGGTGTACGCAACACTCAGACTAGAGATGATGCACACATTTCTGAAATTTCAGTAAATAAACTTGAGCGACTCAGAAGTTTTGGGCAGGCAAGGGGAAGTTCATGGACGGGTGTACAGATGGACACTATACAAGAATGTGCTTGCCTTTCAATGAGCGTAAAAAAGTCAAACCTACATTTATAAAAAACAATATTTTTTCATCCAAAGAAATCAGCTGCAGATGAATCATTTCACAAATTATTTCACTATAACATGGATGGTCTTGGCAGTGTCTTGGTGAGATCTTCTGTGGGGATATTAGGAGCATAGTCGCCTCTCATTATATGAAACTGGTTCTGGAGTGTTCTGAAGAAAACCTACATTGGGGGCACGGGGGCTGCACAGCTGCAGAAAGGAAAGCTCTGCAGAGAGTGATGAAGGCTGCACAGCTGCAGAAAGGAAAGCTCTGCAGAGAGTGATGAAGGCTGCACAGAAGACTGTTGGAGTCAGTCTCCCCACCATCACAGACATCTACACCTCCAGATAATGGGTGATTTCAATATTCTTGTAGATGTTGAAAGTGATCAAGCATAGACTTTAAAATTTAATGGAGTCAATTGGTTTTACCAAAATACCCGAACATCTACCCATTCTCATCATCACACCCTCGACCTGGTTCTTACTTACGGCATAGAGATTAATGACTTAGTAATATATCCCCAAAATCCTGTTCTGTCTGATCATTCTTTAATTACCTTTGAGTTTACATTAAATGACTACACAGTCACGGAGAGTAAATTTTATCTTAGCAGGTGCTTATCAGAAAACACCGTAACCAAATTTAAAGATTCTCTTCCAATGTTTTCCTCCATTTTGCAAAGTAATACATCAGAGAGCAGTGACTTAGATCATCCATCCATCCATCCATTATCTTTACCCGCTTGTTCCATTTTGGGTCACGGGGGTCACCGGTGCCCATGTCCAGCAATCACTGTGCGAGGGGCGGGGTACACCCTGGACGGGTCTCCAGTCCATCACAGGACCACATAGAGACAAACGAGACAAACAACCATTCACTCTCTCACTCACACCTAGGGACAATTTAGAGTTACCAATCAGCCTAACATGCATGTTTTTGGTCTGTGGGAGGAAACAGGAGTACCTGGAGAAAACCCACGCATGCACGGAGAGAACATGCAAACTCCACCCAGAAGGCCCCTGGACCGGGGTTTGAACCAAGGACCTGCTCGCTGAGAGGCAGCAGCTCTACCAGTTGCGCCACCGTGCTGCGACTTAGATCATTTGGTTGATAATTTAAAATTTCTTTGCAAACTTCACTGGATCAAGCTGCTTCGCTGAAAAAGAAAGTAATCAATCAGAGGAGACTGGCTCCTTGGTTCAATTCTGAGTTACATACTTTAAAACAGACATCTAGAAACCAGGAAAGAAAATAGTGTTCCACTAACATTGAAGAATTTTACTTATCTTGGAGAGGTAGCCTGATAACATATAAAAAAGCTCTCCATAAAGCTAGAAACTTTATATTATTCATCTTTATTTGATGAGAATACAAATAACCTCAGGTTCCTTTTCAGTACCATAGCTAATCTAATGAAAAACCCTATCTCTGTTGATTCATGTATCTCTACAACTGTAACTAGTGATGACATCATAAGACTCTTTATAAATAAAATTATTTCAATTAGGGAAAAAATTCAAACCAACACTTCTAGTATCACCTCTGGTTCTGTGTCAGATGAGACAACTTTGAAAATGTCACTAGAATCTAATTTATGGTTGGACTGTTTTGGCTTGTTGAGCTCAATGATTTGTCAAAAATAATAGCTTAATCTAAACCATCCACATGTCTGCTAGATCCCATCCCACCAGGCTATTTAAATATGTATTTCCCTTAATTAATAACCACATCTTGGATCTGCTTAATTTGTCTCTAATAAACTGTACCACAATAATTTAAGATTGATGTGATTAAACCTTTACTTAAGAACCATAACCTTGACTCAGGAATCCTAGCCAATTATAGACCCATATCTAATCTAACTTTCATCTAAAAAATTCTGGAGAAAATAGTTGCAGGTCAGTTACATGATCATCTGCAAAGAAATAATGTATTTGAAGAGTTTCAGTCTGGGTTTAGAGCTCACCACAGCACTGAATCTGCACTGGGGAAAGTTACAGAGAAAGTCTACAGGGACATGTATATGTTATTAGAATTATAGGAATGGCTCTAAATTGGTTTAAATCATATCTATCTGATAGATTCCAATTTGTAAATGTAAATAATGACACATCATCATACAATTTTATTCATAGAGTTCCTAAGGGTTCAGTGCTTGGACCAATACTCTTTACCTTATACAGTAGTCCCTCATTTATTGCGGGGGATACGTACCCTGAAGTCCCATGATAAGTGAAAAACCACAAAGTAGGAATAGTAGTAAAAGTAGCAAGTAGTTGTTTATTGAGCTAAATATTTGACATCAGCAGACTGCGGGCCATTGATTGGCCAGAGAGAGACTTAAACATGTAAACCAATATCATGGTTCTATGAAGAGGTGCAGATGATTGTGCACTTGTTGGCTAATGATAGAATTTAGACAGAGCTTCATCAAATTGACTAAATTTATAGTCTCGGATAGGAAGAGGGAAGCTGTTCTCAATTAGACCACAACATTTTTGGAAACTGTGGCAAAAGATGGTGAGTGTTTTGTGACTTTACTTATTTCCCCATTGCTGTGCTGTGTTTGCCTCAGATAGAAAATAACATTGCAGAAGTTTCAGGCGGATGCGCTATGACGATCCCAGCAATATAACTCCAGTTATATCAAAAGACACAAAGACCGTGCTGACTTGAATAGAGTCAAAGCAAGTCGTGGTGAGACTACTAGACAGTGGGAAAACTGCTACAGAGCAAGGTGAGGGTTCAGACAAGCAACAAAATGCTGAAAATAGCAAGAAAAACCTTTTT